GAGTGACCGCTCGGTCTCATAATTTATTTATATCTTCTCTGGAAACTAACAATAAAGTGGCTCTTTAAAATGTAACGTTCTGTTAAGATTATTATCGTGGCGTTTCTGAAGATAATAACTGGAACTTGCATAGTAAATTTTAACTAACTGTTTTATAATTAAAATTTTCAGACGAATCTAAATGAAGGGGGATAAATTATTGTGAGATCAAGGATTATTTAATATTTGGTTTATTTGAATATACAGGGTGGTCCGAACTGTATTCCGGAAACTTCGGCAGCATATTCTGCAGATAAAAATAAGTAAAAAAGTTTGTATAAATTAGTAGTGGGAACTATCGAATGAATACTATTCGAAACATTCGATAGTTGCAACTCATTCGAATAATTCGATAGTAAGAAAACATTCGTTGAAAACTATTCGAATAAAAATTATCGAATAGATCCGTCATCTGCCTTGAAATATTGTATTCTAGTAATTCGGCAGCAAAAACCATTCATTTATAAAATTCATTCATTTATGAAATTCATTTATTCGTCAGGATCGATTATAATAAAATATTAACTGAATTTTAGTTGTCGCCCGGCGACGTAGGTTTCCAAACCCGACAGCGGTCGGTGGCAATGCTATGAAAGAAGCCGGCATCTTTGATTTTTTGCGGAGTCAGATATAGATAACGACACATTATTTTTTTTATTGAGGTGCTAGTATTTACACAGAAAATACATTATGAAGGGCGCTGTTGCCATATTTTGGTATTAGTTGATATTAGCAAAGAATATTATTGTTTGGCTTTAGTTAGTTAGGGATAGTATGTCTATATATTCTGAATTTTTTTTTATTAATATCCTGTTGTTACACTGCAATAATACTTGTTATTTTGGATGTAAGAAAATGATTTTTAATGTTTTTAAGCAAAGACTGGTTTAATAAATAATAATAACAGTAATAATTTGTTATACCTATTAACAACAAAATTTAAAATGATTTAATATAAATATTTTTTTTAAGTATTAGCAAAATATAAACAACAAATTAGATGTCAAAATTATTTATATTAGATCCTATTTAAAAATAATATAGTCTCTAAATTTTTTGGCAACGTTGGTTTATTGAATAATAATAATTACAGAACTAATTTGTTATATTAACAACAAATTTTAAAATCATGAAATATAAACATTTATTAATTTTCTAATCATGCAGTGTAATGGAACGAAAATATAAATAAAAAATTAGAAATCAAAATTATTTATATTAGGTGCTTCATATTTCTATTTAAAAATTATATTTACTTTTACTGGCATTTACTTTAAAAAATAAATGAAATATTTCTTCGCAAAAAACTACATGTAAGAGAATTAGCATAAACAAAATACAAAATCGTTAACTTTTTTTTAAAATTGGCACCTGTAAAACTTTCATTTTAATTTTCTCACCCCATAGTTTGAGTTCGATTACCCCATTTACTTAACCACATTACTTAAATATGATTATTAAGTTCAACTAATTCATATTATTAAAACATCTAAAATACAAATATGTATTTTTAAAATTAATTCTAAGTTCATCTCATCTCTCTTAAAAATTGCTACTTCACAAAATTTCCCATAAAAAAATAGACCACATACCATATAAAATTAAATAATTGAAAGATCGGACTACGGAAAACCATACAAATTTTCGGAAAAATTTTGACCACCTGCACATGCACACAATCGTCAATAAATAAAATTAAAAAATAACTACTATTTTAGTATTTTAACTATTTTAATAAACGCAAAAATAGCACAGTATTTATACGGCGAAGTTATAAAAATTTGGAAGAACTAATAATGCACTGACGCATACAAAAATCAAACGAATACTAAATTTCATTTTTCATTTATCAAAAGCATTCGATAGTCGTGGCGCAACGATAACCATTTGGTCGCACGGCGAGGTTGTCACATATGCTTTAGTGTACAAATGAATGAATGATTTTATTCGAATAAAACCATTCGATAGTTGAAATCATTCATTCATTAACCATTCGATAGTCTAATTCATTCGATAGTTCCCATCGCTAGTATAAATGTATGTCCTAAAATGCTTAGTTTCGGAGATACAGGGTGTAGAAGTTTCATTTTTATTTCGATTTTTTCCAAATAATTTCTGAAGTAACGTCAATATTTGGATGAAAATTGGTGTCTGGGAGTTTTTTGATATGAGAAATTTGATTTTGATTACTCCTACTTGAAGAGTGCGCTACCTACGTATTTTTTAACTGGTTTGAAAAGTAATAACTTTTTGTATAAAACTAATAATTAGGAAATATGTATACATTTACGACGTTTTTAACGTAATAAAGGTCTCTTGGTAAAAATCGTTACGAGTAAAGCTTGATTTTCATGCATCCGTTGTCCGACGATCCGTTGATACGATTTTAATTTCATTGGTTGAATTTAAAGGCTTCGATTGTTTAACCGTTTCTAACCAATCGAAGTGTTTAAATTCAACCAATAAAATTAATATCGTATCAACGTGTCGTCGGATAACGGATGCATGAAAATTAAGCTTAATGGTTATCAATATATTTGGAATCTAAATTATCAATACCTGTCATCATTGACATAAATTAAACATGTTCACTAAACATGTTCACTAAAAAAAATCATAAGATAAGAAATGTTTTTGTGCCAAAAGTTCAACAAAAACTGTTTTTTAAACAGTTGTACTTAAACAGCCGTTAAACGGTAGCCTACTAAAATGCCGTTAATAGATATTGTGACGTCGTTCATGTCGGCGGAAAGTAAGGCCTGCCTATAAGCATTTTGCAAGAGCACCTGTGGCTCCGTGGCTGAGGCTATCGCTTCGTGAGCGAATGGTCCGTGGTTCAAATCTCACGCCGACCAAGATTTTTTATATTTTTTTTTTGCTTATAGCATGATCTTATTGCATTGGTTTCACTCTTTTTGGTTGGATTGGTTTAGTTATTTGGCGGGTTGGTTAGCGTGATTATTTGGAGGGTGTTAATTCATTGGTTAGTTGATTATTTGGTGGGGTTGGTTGGTTTTTACTAATTTATATTTATTTTTTATATTTTTTTATCAGTGTCGAGGGTCGAGGTTAGTTGCGTTGGTTAAGTTGGTTATTTGGTGGGGTGGATAGCGTTGGTTAGTCCTTATAAAATTCCTATATTTCATAAAGCCGTCAAGTGCGTCACATCAACGAGGTCATACTTATTAACGGCATTTTAGTAAGCTACCGTTTAACGGCAGTTTAAGTACAGCCAAGAAAAATTTATGATTAATTTAAAAAAAAATAAAAAGTTTCCAAATTTATCATTTCAGTCAAATAACTATCTACTCAACATGTTTATTTTGTGTCAATAATGACATGTATTGACTATTACTATTCTAAATATCTTGAGAACGGTTGCTCGTATTGATTTTTACCAAGAGACATTTTTTACGTAAAAAGTCACAGGAATGTATATTTTTTCACTCAGTAGTTTTATACAGGTACGGACGAAAAGTTATTATCCTCCAAAACAGTAGAAACACATGTAGGTGGCGCCCCCCGGTGTATTTGGCGTGTCAAACAACGTGTGTAGGAACAAGCCTGTATAATTATTTCGACTGGTGCAACTGGCATAAACTTGTACAAATTTTCTTCATATGCATGAACGTGTGTATTAAATTTGAGCATCCTTGAAGTTGATTCTAGTATGTTTATTGTTTGTTACCTACCTGAGGATACATAAAAATGACTAGTGAACAAAAAGTATGCTCGAGGTATGGGCATTTACAGAGAATCTCTTTGTTTATGCCAAGTAAAATCAATGGCCTACCATAATAAAAACAAAAGAGAGGCTGCATAACAGTTAAAAATATATGTTTCTTCATTCATTCGTAAATAACTTTGCTATAAATAATATTTCTCTTTAGAAGTCTCTTCCTTTTAGAAGTTTTTGCATTAAAAGCGACGAGATTTCTTTTTTTTTCCTTTTTTTTCAAGCATTATAACGAAAATTAGCTTCTAAAACTGTTCAGGTACGCTTGTATTGCGTGGAGTGCAACCTTGTACAAGTACGCTGGCACAAGTACAAACACTTGTCAAGTCTGCATGAACGTCTGTAGCTACCTTAAGATATTATCAACTAGTGCCCATCTTTTTGCAGATATGTACGTCACTTTTAATAACAACCGTTTATTATTTTTAGTAGTATAACTAGTATATCGCCATATTGTATAGGTATATACTAGTATTGTAATTTCAGTTCAACAAATATCTTAATAAACACCTAAGAGTCCATTTCACCTAGTCCGAGAAAGTAGCAAAATAAGCGTTCGGCATTTATCGTTTTATGTAACACTGGCTAGGTATTTTTACACAAATGAAGAAGGAAGTTAAAGATAAAAGATTATACTATATCCGTATTGTAGCACATTTTTAGACAACTTCTTTATTTTTAAGATTTTGATGGTCAGACATCAACAAAATATTTCTTATGTTTGGACTAAATTTTCTCGAAAATAAAGACATAATTTAAAATTCCGTTACAATACGGAAATAGATTGAAGTTTTGTGATTACAGTGATGTATAATTTATATGGTTTTGTAACAAATTGCTCGCTATTTTATGGCAAATGCTGAAGCTCTGCAAACCTTAATCAAGCCTTAAGCAAAGCACGTGTGTATGGAATTTTGGGTGTGGCTTAACACGGCAGGATCGGGCTAAGCCTTATAGGCGGATTTCTGAAATATAATATATATTTCCTTCGGCCACACACCCGCTTTACCCGACCCCTGAGAGCGACCCGAACAGTACAGCCTAATAGACTCTTAATCCAACAATATAAATATGAAATTTCTGTTTCACTCTTCATAGTCATTTACACAATAATAATATTCTTTTGTTGTGAAATTCATGCTTTTATAATAGTCTAATAATCTTACTGTAATGATACTGTTATTATAATTTATACAGTCAGTTGATAAGTACTTTTTTGTTCCAGGCACCCCTTGTTTCTTGTTCTTGTTAGACCAGTCACCACACAACCGCCGCCATGGACGCGATCAAGAAGAAGATGCAAGCGATGAAGCTTGAGAAGGACAATGCGGCGGACAAGGCCGATGCGATGGAAGGACAGGCCAAGGACGCCAATGCCCGTGCGGAAAAAGTCAACGAAGAGGTAAATTTTTAACCCCAAATATATTAGAGGTTTTCTGTTTTCTTGACGTAGGCCTCTGACAATTTTTCCTAGAAATTCCTATTCCTGGTATCAAGTGCAACTGATCCCAACTCCCAACTGCTTCTCAATTCCTCCAGTGTCTCCATCTGGCTATCATTCCCATCCAGTTATATCTTGTATTTCTATTAGGGGGTTTCTGTTTTCTTGGCGTAGGCCTCTGACAAATTTTCCTAGAAATTCCTATTCCTGGTATCACGTGCAACTGATCTCAACTGCTTCTTATTTCCTTCAGTGTCTCCATCTGGCTATCATTCCGTTCCAGATATTTCTTGTATTTCTATTAGGGTTTTTTTATTTTCTTGGCGTAGGCCTCTGACAATTTTTCCAAGAATTCCTATTCCTGGTATCAAGTGCAACTGATCTCAACTGCTTCTTATTTCCTCCAGTGTCTCCATCTGGCTATCATTCCGTTGCAGTTATTTCTTGTATTTCTATTAGGGGTATTCTGTTTTCTTGACGTAGGCCTCTGACAATTTTTCCTAGAAATTCCTATTCCTGGTATCAAGTGCAACTGATCCCAACTCCCAACTGCTTCTCAATTCCTCCAGTGTCTCCATCTGGCTATCATTCCGTTCCAGTTATATCTTGTATTTCTATTAGGGGGTTTCTGTTTTCTTGGCGTAGGTCTCTGACAAATTTTCCTAGAAATTCCTATTCCTGATATCAAGTGCAACTGATCTCAACTGCTTCTTATTTCCTCCAGTGTCTCCATCTGGCTATCATTCCGTTCCAGATATTTCTCGTATTTCTATTAGGGTTTTTTTATTTTCTTGGCGTAGGCCTCTGACAATTTTTCCCAGAAATTCCTATTCCTGGTATCAAGTGCAACTGATCTCAACTGCTTCTTATTTCCTCCAGTGTCTCCATCTGGCTATCATTCCGTTCCAGTTATATCTTGTATTTCTATTATTATTATACATCCCTCTTTGTCTATTGCCATCTTGAAGGATTAGTCTGTCCACTTCTAAAGAGCCCCTCATGTGGAAGTAAGGGAGACGATAATACAATGGGTTGCCCCCTGGTGCCCCAAAGTTGAGATCAGTAGAAGCTATAGTCTCGCATCTCCTAGACGAAGCCCTAACTCTTTAACTGGTATTTCTCCAGATTAAACCAGTTCCATTGTATACTTTAGTTTTCAGCTTCAGGAGTATAGTTTGGATTTTAATTGCGGACTATTTAAAAATACCAATCAATCTTGCCAACTTTCGAATTAGTAATTATTTTTTATTTTGTATTTATAGGTCCGCGAACTCCAGAAGAAACTCCAACAAGTCGAGATGGACTTACAACAGACCAAGAACCAATTGGAACAATCTAATAAGACTTTGGAAGAAAAGGAAAAAGCTCTCGTCACCGTAAGCATTTTTAATTACTTTCTCCTACTTTTTATCGCTAATTTAGTCATTAAACATAATTGGAATTGTTTTTTTATAACATTTGGGAATATGACTTTTTTTATATAAAATAACTTGGTTTTCTTTGGTGGAAGAATTCCTAGATAAATATTAATAGAGATAAAATTCCTAGTGGCTTTCTACATGAAGAGATTTAACTATTCTACAAATTATACAACAATTTAAGAGGTTTACATAATAGTCCAAGTGAATAGGCAATACAATACGAAGTTTTGGTAAAAACTTGATTTTTTGATATGTCACTTTGAAAGACCTAAAAACGAATTGTAAAAGATTTTTTTTTAAATTCACCCCCGAGAAAGGGCAAAATAAATAAATAAAATTATTTTTTCGAAAATTAGGAGAAATGGTAAGGGCTAGAAAAAAAACGTTCAAATAAAAGTTGTAGAGCGCCCAATTTTGCATAAAAATGGTCTATATACTTTTTTTGCTCAAACCAAAATTATCCGAGATAGGGTGGCCAAACCAAACCTCTTCTAGGGGGTGAATTTTAAAAAAATTCACAATTCGCTTTTAGATTTTTCAAAATAACTAAAAATTCAAGTTTTTACCAAAAATTTGTATTTAAAGACATATTTTCTTGGACAATAAGCAAACAAAATGTATAAATTAATAAATATCTGCAAAAAGGTATTTTTAATCTGTAAAAAGGCATTTACAATAAGATTATTTCAAATATCTTTTTACAGATATGTCTTTTCAATCATTGACTTACTGATCAAAACTATCATCAAAAACTTGAACTTTACATTATTTTATCTGTACATTAGGCTAAAATAATTCATCTATTCATAAAAAAGCCCCAATATAAAACATAAGGTTTTTTATTTCTTTGGTACCTGTTTTGAAAATGTGTCAAATTTGTGCTGAATTGCATGTGATGCCCATTTTCTGGTTTACCCTAGAAAAACGCTAGCCATGAAAAAATTATCTTGTTTTTTTTGGTAACTAAGGGTGTATTCCATGGTGTATTCCGTTTCCGTTGCTTACCTTGGTTATGATTTTATGTTTCGTTTCTATAGTAAACGTCACGAATGTTTGGGAGTGATTCATCGGTCGCTACCATGTGAACTAATCTGTTCAAGGTCACATAAAACTTAATTCCAGTGCCGTGGTGTTTCAAGTCATATAATAATCAACATATAATCTGATTTAATTTGTTGTTTTAACTGTCAAAGTCTTGTCAAAACATATATTTGGTTATAAATATAAAATGGAATGACTGCACAAAAACGAATCAATCAAAGAAACGCGATATAGTATCGTCTTTGTCAATCACGCTAACATTTTAGAATAAGTAGGAGGAGCGCAGGCAGATGATTAGACCGGGCCATTAAAAACCTACGTCTGCGGTAAAAATTTACGTTTTTAATGTAAAAATGATAGCGCGCGTGTCGATTCTAACTTCATCAAGCGATGAATCACTCCCAAACATTCGTGGCGTTTACTATATCGGTTTCCTGAAGGATTTCTTATTACGGAACCCGGTTCCTGAAAAATTCGGTTATAACTGTCACCAAATTAACCAGCGCGAGAAGGCTGGTTTTGTTTGTCAATCAATGTCATTTATGTGACAGAAATCAAGCAAATATTGGAAGAAAAATTCTCATTTAATTTCTAAAATTTGTAATAATATTTTGTATTTACATCCAAAAGCAATGGAAGTAGGCCGTAAAGGTAAATAAATTTCATTAACTAAATAGAATGACTTTTTAGGATCATTTAAACTTATCATACAGCCATTGTTTCTTAAAGTCAGGAACATTTAAAGAAAACATGAAAAACAAGACAAAAAGTAATCGTGAATGTTTTGTAAGCTATAAAAATATAAATATTGATTAGATTCGTTTATTTATTATTGATCTGTTTTAATATTGGACCTGCAAATCTTTACTTGAGCTGGCTAACAAGTTTAACAGTTTATTAATAAAGTACTTTTCAATATTAATCTCCATTGAGAATAATAATAATAATATAATAATAATATAATAATATAAATAGAATAATAATCAATCAAAACGTAAAAGCAGAGAACAGGTACATTAAAAATGCATAAAAGATAAATTTTATAATAGAGGTATTGAAATTTAGAAACGTCAACATTTGACGTTTCCAGTATTTTAACAAACCGTTCCGTATCAAACCGATGTTTTTCAGGAACCGCTCTTTACTGTAGTTTACCGGTCTGGTTCGCCTGGTTTTGCAACGGAATACAGCCTTAGGAAAACTATTTGCCGTTTTCGTTATTTTTTCTCTGTGATTTCCTTGATAGACAACACAATATGTCATTTATTATGTTTGTCAATCAGTTAATGGCATATTTAGTTACATCTTCTGCTATTCTAATATCAAATACTAATGATCCATCAAACTTTAGGCCGAATCTGAAGTAGCCGCACAGAACAGAAAGCTCCAGCTTATTGAAGAGGACCTCGAACGCTCTGAAGAACGTCTGGCCACCGCTACCACCAAATTGGCTGAAGCTTCCCAAGCTGCTGATGAAAGTTCACGGTAAGAACATATTCATCTAGTTCTTTTACCATCTGAGGTTTATTTTCATTGCAGTATGTGCAAAGTATTGGAAAACCGTGCCCAGCAAGACGAGGAACGTATGGAACAACTAAGCAACCAATTGAAAGAAGCCCGTATGCTCGCTGAAGATGCTGACAACAAATCCGATGAAGTTTCCCGCAAGCTGGCCTTCGTTGAAGATGAACTTGAAGTAGCTGAAGACCGTGTTAAAGGTTGGTATAGAATTTTTAATCTGCAACTTTTGTTTGAAATATTATGCGTTTTATACAAGGTGTTTCAAAAAACATGTGCCATCTCTCGTGGGAAGATTCGTCTTGTAAAAATAAGATTTTTTTTCATATTAATATAGGTCCGATTCTGCTTTGTTTCACAGGGAGTACAGTAGTAGGCTTGTGCACGGGGTTAAAATCTTCATCTTTTCTCAAATTATTATAATTTTCTTCCAAGTGCTTTTAACTATTCGTATGAAATTTTGAGGGTAAATTTACTATTAGTGCGACATATTTTAATGCTAAAAAAGTGTTGACATATTCACCAGGGACACCACGTGCATATGAGTTGTCACAGGAATATTTTTCTAAAAATAATATGTGGTCCACTGACTTTTTTCCTCTTATTAGTAAAAGTGTATACACCATATAAATTGATTGCTGATTGAAAGTTGTATATTGATATTTTGTCCATTTTGATCTTCTAGATGAGATAAACGCAATTTTCTTAATCACAATAATTAATAAAATTAAAATGAATGAATTATTTATTTAATCTAATTTATTACTAAATTTTATTAAAATTTATAACACTGATGTACAGGGTGTCCCACTAAGACTAACTCTCGGCTGTATCGCGGAAAGTATTAGTTGTAGAGCTTGGGGAAAAAATATTTATAACTAATGAGACCATGAGAAATTGCTGGAAATTATTTTCATGTTTGTAGGACGACCGCTAGAGGGCGTAACTGCTATAGAAAATTACAAAATGGAATTTTTAAGAAATTTTGCCTAAATACGATGTACTATAAATAATAGCTTCATAATCTTCAATAAATTTTGGATCTTTTTTGTTAGAACCATTTTCTCCTATCTGCTAAAATAAAGTGGTGGGGGAGTTTAGATCTGTTTTTATTTAAATATTAATAACTCCGGACTGGATGATCGGAATCCAACAAGCGAGGGCTCGTTTAAAAGAGCGTTCCTTACTCTATATTGTACCATATAAACAATAATAATAAGCAGAAAAAAAATCGTGGGTGTTTAGGAAGGCTTGAAAGGGAAACAATGTTTTTGCGACGTTTCGCGACTTTATTGTCGCTTTTTCAGGCGCTATAGGAGAAGCAGTTTTTTTTAAAAATATCAAAACAAAATTAACTGGCCACTTACCCAAAACATATATTAATCCATATTATGCCTACAAACATTCATGGCGATTCCAACCGCCAACACTAAGACGCATACAGACGAATCGAACAGAAACTTAACGGGTATTTTTTGGCTCGATATACACCGATGCTCGGTTTATGTTTGAACCAAGTTGAATTAATTTCGGTACCAAAAAAAGGATTGATTTTTTGTTTCCTTAATAGTGTATGTAATTTTAGCTGATGGTAAAGAGTAATAAAAGCTTAACAAGTCAGAGAAAACCGCATCTTGATATCTTTTTTCAAACCAAAGTTATTAGCAAAATTATAATAAATACGAAAATATAAGCCCTTAATTACCTTATTTTTCTACGGTATCACTAGCCCTCTTGATTATGACCATTCTAATAAAAAATAATATAAAAAAGATTATTTTATTCAAAATATCGACAATGAAACAGAAATCCATAATACTAGGTGTATTAATATCTAATAATTAAGATACCAATAACGGTGGACAAGAAACGACACCTCAGTGAATTCATGGTAGGCTTTGGGAAAAAGTTGCTGTTAAACAGATAGTTTAAACATCAAAATATTATTATATAATGGAAAATAAATTTCTTGCAGTTTTTAGGTATATAATAAAATTATATAAGAATTTCTTGCCTTGAACTGCTATAATATAGAAATTAATTCCACGCTGTGTTCGACATAATGTGGATCAACCTGCTCTCACTAGTGGTTTCGGGGCCCTACCCCATCATCAGGTGAGCTTGAGTATTTCCACAATATGTCGAGCACAGCGCAGAGTATATATACACGACTTGTCGTAAAGTAGCGGTAAGATATTAAGTCCCGCGTCGCGAGATAGCGGCCTGCGTGCAATGGTAGTACTTTCGTACCACCGAGGCACAACTATCGATAGTAAATAAAGGCTTTTTTTGGCTAGCCAAAATTATATAATGGAAAATAAATTTCTTGCAGTTTTTAGGTATATAATAAAATTATATAAGAGTTTCTTGCCTTATATATATATATATAATATTATTATATCAACATTTTGATAGTCTCAGCAGCATTTTTTTATCTTTTGATTGCTTTTCTAAAAATGCCTTTCTTCAACAGAGAAAAAGCCCTGCTAAGACTATCAAAATGTTCATCTAATAACACTTTGAGGTTTATACTATTACGTCAAAAGCAATTTTTTTCCAAAGCCTACCATGACTTCACTGAGGTGTTGTTTCTTATTAACTGTCACTGATATCTTAATTATTAGATATTAAAATCTGGTGTTATGGTATTCTGGTATATTGTCGATTCTAGAATAATCTAATCTTTTTGTCAGAATGTTCATAATCAAGAGGGCTAGTGATACCGTGTTAGAAAAATAAGGTAATTAAGGGCTTATATTTTCGTATTTATTATAATTTTGCTAATAACTTTGGTTTGAAAAAAGATATCAAGATGCGGTTTTCGCTGACTTGTTAAGCTTTTATTACTCTTTACTATCAGCTAAAATTACATATACTACCGTATTTAATTTTTTTGAAAAAACACGCAATGTTTGTTAAATTTTAAGACAACGCCCCATAGCGTCTACGTTGAAAATCTTATTATTATTGTTTATATGGTACAATATAGAGTAAAAGACGCTCTTTTAAACGAGCCCTCGCTTGTTGGATTCCAATCATCCAGTCCGGAGTTATTAATGGTGATTACGGGTGAAATGATTAATTGATAAATATACAGGGTTGTTCACCACATACGACACGGAGTATTGTAGCTAAACGATTAGATTTTCACAAATTGTAAATTTTGGGTTCGTTGAAGGTCAATTAGAGTTACAATTTAAAAATATTTTTACAAGATACAGAGTGTCCCAAATAAGTAAAAAATATTATAGATATATTTTTTTAAATGGAACACCCTGTATATTATTCTATTTTTGGATTCTACGATTGAAATAAAGGTAAATTTGATTAAGGTTTATCACACTTAAATCTTACCGTTTTTGAAATATTTTCAATTTTATGAAATTGCAGTAAAAATGTTAAGGCTTTATTTCTCCCAGGGTATCAAAGTTTTTAATACCAAATATTTACTGAAGATTATTTATTGATCAGATATTGTGTTGCAACAATAAAAATTTTACTACCTTATACAGAGTGTCCAAAAATTTATATTAAATAATTACTAGCTTTAAACGGCAATAACTTGTTTAATTTAAATGGAATACCCTATATATTTTACGTAAATCAGATGCACAATGTAATTGTCTATCAAATTTTATTATACCATTTTTTACCTATCTCTTCAAGTTTTCGTAGAAAATGCATTTTTTTATAATTTAGGCCTCATTTATCACTATACCCATGGAATATTGACATTTCAGATTTTTTTATAGCACTATAATATGTACAAAATGTACAGGTGGTAAATATTGCAAGCCCATTGGCATACAAAATAAACTATTTAAATATTTATAAAAGAGTATACCAATTAAATATACCATCATTATTTCCTACCAAAAACACCAAAAATTAGTTAATTACATACTTATAAATTGTTTTAATTAAAACATTATTCTAAATGAATGTGGATTTGGCTCAGAAATCAATATAATAATAAGTCATAAAAATGAACGTGTGTTTTTATAAATAAACATTCGTTAATAAATGAAGTAAAATCTATAAGGTGTTGCTTTTTACCACACTGTCTAATACACACACAAAATTCAATTTTTTAGTATTTGGAGCAATTATTACTACAACGTAAACAGTCAAATAATGTAGTTTGAATACTGGGATCATATTAATCGGTCCTCTTTAACAAAAAATATTTAAACAGTTTTTTTATTTTTTAATTAAATAAGCGAACTAGATATATCGACAATATTAGTATCTGTACCCTTTGAAAATTTGTTATATCTTTAAAAATAAGCTAAAATGTCAATATTCCATGGGTATAGCGATAAATGAGGTCTAAATTATAAGAAAATGCATTTTCTATGAAAACTTGAAGAGGTGGGTAAAAAATGGAACAATACAATTTGATAGACAATTACATTGTGCATCTGATTCGCTAAAATATATAGGGTGTTCCATTTAAATTAAATAAGTTATTGCCGTTTAAAACTAGTAATTATCTAATATAAATTTTTGGACACTCTGTATAAGGTAGTAAAATTTTTATTATTGCAACATAATATCTGATCAATAAATAATCTTCAGTAAATATTCAGTATTAAAAACTTTGGTACCATTGGAGAAATGAAGCCTTAATATTTTTACTGCAATTTCATAAAATTGAAAATATTTCAAAAACGGTAAGGTTTAAGCGTGATAAACCTTAATCAAATTTACCTTTATTTTAATCGTAGAATCTAAAAATAGAATAATATACAGAGAGTTCCATTTAAAAAATACAACTATAATATTTTTTACCTATTTGGGACACTCTGTATCTTGCAAAAATATTTTTAAATTGTAGCTCTAATAGTCCTTCAACGAACCCAAAACTTACAATTTGTAATAATCTAATCGTTTAGTTACAATACTCTGTGTCGTATGTGGTGAACAACCCTGTATATCAAATCAAATTCTGAACAACTTTTCTCTCTCACTTTTTTGGCTATTTTAGTCCATCATGATTTAACATTAGATATTTGTAGTATGTAGCACGACATCATGATTAGTAATAAAATTGAACATGCCGAAGAAAATTTATAGAAGCAATAACTAAATTATAGAATAGTTTTTTATTTGTTGCTAATTTTTTAACACGACCTGTACATTTTTATTTTAAAGGGATTAACGTAAACTCCATAAAAACAAATTTTGACATTAATTAGTGACAATAAAATCACACAAAAAATTGATAATATGCACCTTATCAGCCTGCCGCCCGCCCTAGGCAGCTGCCTATCTTGCCTAATGGATAAAGCGGCTCTGATCGGACCTATGTTAATGTAAAAAATAATTCTTATTTTTACGAGAGAAATTTAAAGTTTGATATCCTCTAATGGTCCCATATAAGCACTCTTGCATAGAGATAAATTGTATAAAATTAACAAATTTTGATTAAAAAAAGACTACTTAGTTCTATGTCTACAGTATATTGTACCACTTGTACATAAGTTAACGAGTTATATCGAATTTAAGGTGGTGATGCCAAGATCATGGAACTGGAAGAAGAATTGAAAGTCGTCGGTAACTCTCTGAAATCTTTGGAAGTATCCGAAGAGAAGGCCAACCAGAGAGTCGAAGAATTCAAGAAACAACTGAAATCTTTGACCGTTAAATTGAAGGAAGCTGAAGCTCGCGCTGAATTTGCTGAAAAGACCGTCAAGAAGTTGCAGAAGGAAGTTGACAGGCTTGAAGGTACTGTATTTAAAAAATATATTTTTGGTACACTAAATTGCGTCTGACAATTTACTTCTCTTAGTTTTTTTTTAGTTTGCTTAGCTTGTTTTTAACCAAATATAGAGGGTGGCGCACCTCATTCGACTCGGTTGATTATACGAAAACGGAAAGATGTACAAAATATTTGATGGGTATGATCAGGGTGTTTCAGAACTAAGATCCATACCAAAGTTATATTTTTTCTTATGGAACACACCCGGTATTTTATTTCATATTTGGATTCTTGGGCCCAAAAAAAGGCATATATGATAAGGGTTAAATATGCTTGATTATTTGAGATATTCAAAGATATTTAAATATGCATGCTACAATAGAATGGATTATTAACACCCTGTACATTACTTTTCAGAATTAGTTCTTGAGCTGAGTTTAAAAATGGGGAAATAAACTTTACTGAAAAATGTTATTGCTTCCTTAAATTTATACAGGGGTACCAAAAATTGCTGATCTATTTTAAGGATTTATTTTATATAAAAACTTCGTTATTTCAAACGGAACAGCCTGTATTTTTTTTAAATAAGTCGAAGCAGATTCAAATGGTCTTTCAAACTATGTTAGGGTTTCCTATACCTATCTAACTCAGATTTTGAATAAAAACCTATTTTTCAATAAAATCGCAACCAAGATGGCTGGTGTCGCCACGGCAATTTTCTAGTGACATTATTAACTATTTACAAAATCGACATTAGTTTATGGACATTATTAGTTCGATTTATAACAGTTTACTTAAATTTCTGTCGCTGGAAGTGAAGAAAATAAATTTGCCGTAATTGGCTCTTTTATAGAGAATCATTTACATCCAAGTCATCGTAAAATAATCAAAGAACTATTTCTTCGTTTTTCTTAATAGAATAATAAATACATATTTAATAAATATTATTTATTAAACTATTGTAGGTAAATTAAATAAAAGAAAACTGATATAAATTTAAATAAAGTCCATAAACTAATTTCGATTTTGAAAATAGTTACTGTCACTAGAAACTTACCATGACGACATCAGCCCTCTTGGTTTGGTTTGATTTTCTTTAAAAAAATCCAACGTGTTGTATTTGAAATAACGAAGTTCTTATGTAAAGTAATTATATAAAAGAGACCAGCATTTTTAATACCCCTGTATACATTAGACGAAGCAATCAAATTTTTCTGTAAAGTTTATTTCTTTGGCTTAAAAGTCAGCACAACAATTATTTCTGAAAAGCAATGTACAGGGTGTTGACAATATTTTTTATTATAGCATGCATATTTAAATATCTTTAAATATCTCAAAAACCAAAACAGTTAAACACATTAAACCCTTATAATAAATGCCTTATCTTATGCCCAAGAATCAAAAAATGAAATAAAATACTCGGTGTTCCATAAGAAAAAAAAAATATAAGTTTGGTATGGATCTTAGTTCTGACACACCCTGTACATTTCAAAATAATTTTAAATTATGCACATTGCCTTCCCACATATATCCATAAAATATTTTGTTTCTACATCTTTCCGTTTTTGTATAATCAACCGAGGCGAATGAGTTGCGCCACCCTGTATATAGAAACCAGGATTTGTTTTCTGAATAGAAGTTAAACAAAATATGGTACAAAATAAAATGCAAGGCATTTGAAAACTTATTAACACTGTAAAGCTAACTTTTTGGTGTCTGTTCAAAATTAAAATAATTTTGAATAATTATCTTTTGATTAAAAGAATTATCTGATAAATATCTTCAGTGAATATTAAGTTATGGATTTCATTTCTCCAAGGGTTTGCAAGTTTTTAATGCTAAATATTTACTGAAGTTTATAGTACCTTATACAGAGTGTCTAAAAATTTATTTTAAATAATTACTAGCTTTAAACGGCAATAACTTCTTTAATATAAATGGAGTATCCTGTATATTTACGAGAATCAGATGCACAATATAATTGTCTATCAAATTGTATCATACCATTTTTTACCTATAATATAGTATAAAATAGCATAAAACAATTTGATAGACAATTAAATTTTGCATCTAATTCTCGTAAAATATACATGGTGTTCCGTTTAAATTAAAGAAGTTATTGCCGTTTAAACCTAGTAATTATTTTAAATACATTTTTGGACACTCTGTACAAGGTAGTATAATTTTTACTATTGCAACAGAAAATTTAGCAAATACAAAAACTTCAGTTTTTCAAAAAAATTAAAATGAAAATATGGATTTAACTAGACGAATATTCCAAAATCATTGATAGCTTCATGAATAGTTGTTAGTATAAATATAGCAGAAATCAATCTTATATCAAGAGCAACAAAACCACTGTTGACCAGTGATCAATAGTAATAAAACATTATACGTTGTCAAATTTTTCTTTCACAAATCTTCATATTTTAAATATTGCTCTAGATTCATAAAAATTATTATTTTAGTAAAAGAATCTGTTATGGTGTGTTTATAAACTTGCAGCACTAACTTACCAGCTTTCTTCCATTTTCCAGATTTTGTTCTCAAGGAAAAGAACAAATACATGGGAATTGTGACGGATATCGATAAAACATTTGTCGAAATGTCCTCTCTGGGCCAAAAGAAGTAGACTTACATTATTACACCTACTATTCAACACATTTTTCACCGATATATCGTATTTTTACATCATTTTGTCCGAAAATTCTTTGACTTGGGGATATGAAAAAAATGCGATATGTCCATATTATCATATTTTTAAGCTACCCCTTGTATATATATTTTTAATGTAATCGAAAAGAAAAAAAACGAATAATTTTAATATATTTCCTTAAATATAACCAGAGAAATATTTATAACAAAATAAAACGCTTTATACACTATTAATTTACTCTGCCTATGCTTGTGCTTGAATGATGCTTCCGCTTAACTGCTAGCTTTCAAAAGCTTAATTTGGTAAGTTTATATGTAGAAAATCACGTGGTCGTTACTGTGATTTGTGTCTTTAAACGTTAACTGATATTTTTGATAATTCTAATGTATGTTATAATTTATTTTAGTGTGTGACAAATTCTAACGCATATAAAAATAAAAGTGCAAATAACTCTTGAATATTGACACTGTATGTTAAAAGTTCCTTTAAATAAAACTTGAGAGTTAAAAGTAGTAGTAAAATACATATAATATCGAAAAAATGTAAATTATTCTACTAAAAAATGCCAGAAAGATTACACGTATGCACTGATGAACTACAAAATGGAAGACATATTTTTTAAAATGTATATACGCTTAACATAAGTTTTTAGTTGACAAAAATTTATAATATGCCATTTTATATTGGGAAGAAAATATTTTTAAAATCTTTGATTTCATATTTATAAATAACTACACTTAGATGCAAAAAAAAACTCAACGGAATTTTTTTTCGTCAGGTTTAAAGTATTATATTTTATTTACTTTTAGCCCAATCTTGAATTGAATGAATTTTCTAGCAAACTGTATATAAATCTATAAAATATAAACTTTAGTATTTGGCTTATACAGTGTTAATTGAAGAGTTGTTTTTACCCTAATTTTAAAACACTCTCTGCAATAATTTCGTGAGTAACTTTTCCTAAAACATTATTTTTCGATCAGAGCCATGCTTCCTGAGCATTTTGTTTTTTGACTCATGTCAATACATGCCTTGGTTAATTTTTAAGAGCTAAATGAACTTGCCACCAACAATTTGCAATTTTTTTAACCATCATTACTTTATGATGTTATTTTTTAATATCAGACGGTGGCTTTGGTGACTATAGTCGTAATGTAATAACATTACGACTACTAATAAGTTCTAATACTGATTAGAACTCTATATTAAAATTTAAAAAACGTTAAAAAGTAACGATATAGGCTTAGTTTTAATAAATATTAGTAACACTAACAGAACTAAAGATATTAAAAAAAAATAACTGTTTAACAAACAAAAAACTTGTAAAAATACGAAAGATCTGTAGACCTCAGTTTATACTGTTAATGAGGCTGCAAATATCTTGTGTTCTGTTCTCCCATCCTTCTTCAAGGACCAAGCGAATATTCATAATTTCAGTCATCTTCAACTAGATCAATGACTTTTGCACAATCTTCGACACTAAGTACCATATTCAATCGTATGCAACAATAATCACCAAAGCTACCTCTTCATGTGCTCGGCCAGCTTTGGTCGAAAAGATGGCCCCAAATGGGCGTGAAATAAATTCTACAACTGAAATGTAGATATTTCTATGTCACTATAATAAGTGATATACAGGGTGGCCCATCGAAAACGTTCCGCAAGGCATAACGGCGAGGGTTTTTTTTTTCAAAAAATTCAAAAACACGTCAATTTTGTTTGTGAGGGGGACAACTTTTGCCCAAGAAATAATTGCAAAATCTTCAACCCTCTAAGCGGGGGTGTCATCCTCCATTTTTTTTCAAATGGGAAGGGGGGTCAAGTGGTACCGCAATGAAAAGGGATTTCTATTCTGTATACTTCCCCGCTTCGTTTTTGAAAATCGGACGAGTCATTGAGAAAATATGGATTGAAATTTGAAAAGTTTATTAAACATTTATCAGAGGATATTTTAGATAAGGATAAATTCCTTCGACCAATTCTTCGAGATTTTTTCTTATTATTTCTAGATATTTACGCATTTTTTCACTTGCCACAAGGTTGAACGATCAGGTGCGGTAGTTGCTAGATAGCTGTTCTGTCACTTGTGGGTTGAAGTTCTTTTCAATATCGTTAAACTGACCTAAAATAGAATTTCCAAAAATACCAGCCCACACGTTCAATTTCTGAGGAGTTTGTGTGTGCACCTCGTGAAAAACCCTGGGGTTGTCCTCAGCCCAATACCGACAGTTGTGCCGATTAACTACACCGTTCAAAAAGAAAGTACACTCATCCGAAAAACACACATTAAATAGGAAATTATTATGATTCACCACTCGTTCCACAAAATTGCAAGCGACGATCAAAATCGTCTTCGTTCAGTTCTTGTAC